TGCAGATTGAACGGATAGTTTTGCTTTGTGGGCGACTTCTTCGACAGTTTGTGCGGCACTAGTTGTCGAACTTAATAATAAATTTTTTTCTGTCTGGTCTGCCATAAAGTCCTATTACATAAATGGAAATATATTTAAAAAAAATATTTATTATAATTACTGTATAATGAGCCAAATATTAATCGGTGTGATTATATTGAGTTAAGCGTCTTGTATTTCTTAACGAAAATAATTTTGGCGATAAGATATTAGTCAATGCATATATATATATAGTCACCTTTGTCTATACGCCCATTGTGGAAAAAAGGTGAAAGAAAAAAAAAGAAACTTTTATTCTTTTCTTTACATTGAGTAAATAGACATTATTGAAAGAATATGAAGAATATTAACGAGAGAAAATAGATTACTCATAATCCAAATCATTGAATGTTTATTTACTACAGAATACAGTGCCATTCAAGTATTATTTTAAAATGAAACAGTTATAAAATATTTAAAAAAGGCTGTCTTGATCAACAAGATGATCTTCTCTTCCTTCTTCTGTTTACTGAAAAATCATTATGAAAAAAAAATTCATTTCTTTTACCTTACATTATTATGTATTTTGAGGACATATATTCAGTAAGGATACTAATTACAGATGCATTTCTTTCCTTGTCTGTTAACCTGATTTTTATTAAGTTTCAACGAATATGATACAAAATAATATTGACTAAAGTTATCAAAATATTATATTTCTTGTAAAATACCGAAACATGATAAATTGAAATATGTAATGTCTATTTATTTCTTATACAAATATATGATCAACAAAATAAAAATTTATAAATATCATGAATATGATTGACTCTTCTTTTATTGTTATCATTTTTCTCACTGACTAATCATGTTTTTGACTTTATAAAACAACTTTACAATTATCACACACAATAAAAGTACAAATATGTCAATTTATCATATCATTCATAGCATTATAACAATATTTTTATATTATTATTATAGAAAAAAAAAGGTTTTTGGATGAGACATACATTAAAATAGAACAAGCAGAATAAAATAAACTTAGATAGATATGAACTCCGAACAACCCGACATTTTATGTTAAAAGTAAAGCAATTTTGAATCACCATATCACAGAGAAATATACACAAAAAAAATAAAATAAAACAAGTGGAAAGGATTTTATAACAAGAAAGCAAAAAGATTTGATATATTGGAAAAAGAAATGAAAGAAAAAATTGAGAGAGTGCACACCGGTACGTACAAGTTATTTAGTCATATCAGGCATTAACTGGACAGATAAGAATTTGATTTACTAAGTTATTGTAATATGTACAATAGTAGATTTATTAAATAAATTTACTAACTGTTAATGTGCTAAAATCTAGCGACATTCCAGAACTCTAACAAATTCTACAGTTTATAAAAGTCGACCAGCGACTTTATATTCTGACTTTCTATCTATCTATTCATTAATCAACGTGCTGAGCAAGTTGACTTTTCAGTTCCTTGATTTTCATATGATTGATTCATCAAGGCTCTTTTCTCGTGAGATTAGAACATAGTATACTACATTGTTTATTAATGTAGTGATATACTGAACTGAAAAAAAGTGTAATACAGATTTAAGTATATAATCTGTATTCACTACTGAATAATGTCGTCTCAAACGACAATAATTCTGCATACTCCCTCATATTAGGGGAAAATAGTATAAGAATTAAAACTTGAAAACTAACGTTAGTCAACGATAAATTGAATTCATTTTAGCACCTTTTGCCAGCAAAAAGTCTAAAAACTATCAACAGGAAGCTTTTACAAGTTTAATTCTTCTACAGTTGCTTTGTCATCATTGCTCGGGTCAAACTAAAAATAGCTTGAAATAAATGACATAATTTTTATCTGATTTGTTTTGTTTAAACTCAGTGTTCTGATTATTTGATTCTGATTTCAGATTAATAATCATTCTCAAACATTTCTATATAATTTAGAATGGTTGTTTCTTATAAAAATTATGTAATATATCTGACTAGTATCTGATAACAAAACAACACAATTAGAGAATAGTATTCATTCATATAATATATGTTGACCTATCTGATATCTTTAAATACGACACATAATTTTTCAGAAAAAAACCAAGCTAAAATACGTAGAAACCATACGGTAACAATGAGATCAGACTAAAGACTGTGATACAAGTTGGAATAAATTTTTATAAGGAATTGAAATTAACTGGAAAAAATTATGTCATTTAAGTATTAAGATTTATAGTCCAACAAGACTCCATGGGTTTAAGTCTACCAGGGGAACAGGAAATATGGATTCACGTCTTTTTAGACTAACTATAAGAACTCAGAGGTTTGTAACCAATGGTCTATTAGGATCTATAGTAAATATTTTACTATCCATCAACTTGTATCGTACCAAAACGCAGAAAAGAAAATGATTTTATAGCGCAAAGAAAAACGCTAAACAAAAAAATACAAAATTCCTTTACTATAAAAGGCACTTGAGGTATTCTTTTACTATAAAAGGAACTTGAGATATTGTTAGCGGTTGAGGCCCTTTCCATACTTATAATATTTACAAATTTTCATGTTAATGGCGATTTCAATAACTTCATCCTTCTAATCTAACTGTAATACAATATACAAATAATACCATATACTATATAGTTTTCTTTGTTTCTACTCACTATAACTGCATCATATATGTCGACAACACTCTGTTGGTGGGAAAATTCCAACTCCTAGAAAAAAAAATTAGCTATATTTTAACAAATATTATTATATTGAGGTATACCTCAACTTCCATAGATATTGGTATATCCGTCATTGAATCATATAGTTGATTCGTCGAATTGATATTTATCTATAAAAATAGTAGTTAACAAAAAAACATGTTAAATATCGATAATTTAAAACATACATCCGCTCTGGTGTTTGACGTATGCGGTTCAACACGGCTTAATATCATCGCTAATTCCTATAATATATATATAAGATTGAAATCTAAAGATTTTTCAAAATAAATTCAAAATACTATATTTGGAGGTATCGGTTCCATAGGTATATCGAATAATTCTGATACTGCCATATTATTTCTTGGTGGACCCACATGGCTTAATGGTTCAATTAACATTTCGTTATTTAGCGGCATAACAATAGTCGTGTCTAAATTACTCATTTTGACGAATCCGATGTTCTATATGATGTATCCTCAATGACGGTGATGTTTGTTTAAATTCTCGATCTAAAATAGTAGTTAAACTTGTTAATTGTATTCAATAATAAAAAAGAATAAAATAAATCAAAACTATTTTTTTCTATACTCAAAAAGTGACAAAAAAATATTTTGTTAAAATCGATTTTCTTTCACAAATCATATAACACAAGACACAATGCGTTATTTACAGTTTGACATCATCGCACATCATTAGATATGCAACAAAACTCATCAAATTTGATTTTTTTATCAACTCTAGCATAAAGTTTAGCAAGTTTGCAGAAACTCTTCTCGATTTAATTTTTTTATGAATAAAAAAAGGTGTGTCTTGTGATGCAATAAGTATGATAATTTTTGTACATTTGAAAAAAAAACTCAAACCGTTTGAATGCATGTTTACATGTGATCTGTATGACTCATATATTTGTTTGTTGTCCAATACTCATAAAAAGTGTTCTACTTATTACTCTCAGACCGTCTGCAAAGCGTCTATATCTCGTCAACAGAACTGAAAAATGTTTTTGTCAAGCAGAACATTCTTCTTCTATTTGTCTCCGTTCTCGTGCCTTCTAGAAGGATCGAGATACATGCTTGCTACTTCATCGATTGATAGTAGAAGAAGAAAAATTATTATTATACAACGAAAAAACCTGATCATGAAAAAGTTATGAGTCACCTAGTAACCGCAGGACAACAATACCTTTTTTTCCTTAGTGGTTTGTATATATAGCTAGTATTTCATATAGTGAATGATACACAATTCATTTCAGTCATATTGAATAACTACTTGAATTTAAAAAAAAGAAACTTCACAAAATACATATCGAAATCAAGTTCTAACATAATAGCAATTAAACAAATATGTAGCAATATATATTTAACTTATTAAATAACATTCGATACAGTATTCATGTAATTGATACATATAATAACAAGATCCATTATCTTCAATATCCTTTTGAAGAAAAAAATATGTTTAACTTTTTTCACATAAAATCCGAACCATTCATTAATGGATTGTGTCATTTAATAGATATTTTATTTTTATATAGTTTTAATAATATACAATAGTTAATCAAAATTGAGAGAATTGTAATTATATCTTTCACTTTCAACTTCACAAACTGAAACAATAACCAAAACTATTACAATAAAAATATCATATTGCAAATTAATGAAAACATATGATACAAAGATACTGTTTGAAAAAGAATACCTTTTTGTGTAGTAGTTAGATTATAATAATCGAAAAAAAGATCTTAAATACTTCTCTCAATAGCCACGCCAAATATATACAATTGAAGAACAAGTAGTGAATACTTATTTGCAACGAAAATTTTTACTATAAGTATAAAATATAGAGAAAACTTGCTTTCATTACTAGAGACCGCGGAGAATTTTCCATTATCACATGAGAGAGATGGCCACATTCATATTCATTTTATCTCCGACTCCTGTAGAGTTAAGCATTTGATTTCATAATGCAGTTAATAAGTAAATATAACTGACAATACTTATGACACGGCGAAATAATATGAACCCCTTTTTTTGCCCAGAATGAATATAAATTATTCGTCCAACACTTCATTATGTGTACCAATGATAAATAAATTTTCTATCAAATACGCCACCTTTATGTCAAATCTTTATACAAACTTTATTGAAGTACTGGTGCGTCAAGTAACCATTCATATAAAACCATGAATCATTGTGGTAATGATTGAGTAATACCAAGTAAAAAAATGTTATTTTTCTATTTTTAAATTTAAAACATGTCTAATGATACAAATGAAAAACAAAATGTAACTAAAAATCCAAGTGAAAATAATCATTTCACTGAAGAGGATTTATGTCGAATAAAGGAATTTCACGTTGGAGATTTACCAAAAAATTCCGGTTTCGTTCGTCCATTTCGAGCCGCATTCACTGATGAACGAAATAATAATCCTGTAAAACGATTATGGGATGCTATCGATGCTCATGTAAGTCATTAAGAATTACATTATAATCCTTTTTGTCTACTAATTTTATTTAATTATAGAATTCTGTTGTAATTATTATTTACAATCGATCAACTGATTCACTCGTTTTTGTTCGTCAATTTCGTCCAGCTGTTTATGTTATGATTAGTAAAGAAACACAAAATGCTTCATCCATAGATGAAATTGATTTTACAAAGCAAGATCCAAAATCTGCAGTTACTTATGAATTTTGTGCTGGAATTGTTGACAAAAAACACTTATCAAATAAAGAACATGCACATGCTGAAATACTTGAAGAATGTGGTTATTCAGTTGATATTAATTCTATTGAATCAGTAACTAAATATCGAACAGGTGTTGGTACTGCTGGTCCAGCACAAGAACTTTTTTATGTTGAAGTAACAAATGAAATGAAAGTAAATATGGGTGGTGGGAATTCATCAGAACAAGAACGTAAGATAAAGACCGCGACAAAAAATAGATATCGTTTTTATTTATTTATTTATTTATAGTTATTGTTGTACATGAAATTCCTGTTGATGAACTTTATCAATTTGTATTTGATCAAACTAAAGCAAAAGAAACATCATTAATGTTTGGTATTATGTGGTTTTTACATAAAAAAGGACGATTACCATGAACTATACTTCAAAAAACATTATAGTTCTATTTCTAAAGAACCGATAATAAAAGATTAAGGAATCTAGATTTATGAAAATATACTAGAAGTCTTTGAGAACAAAATTCAATTTCAAGATTATCTGTTTCGATTGTTGAAATGCTATATACAAAGGTCTTACTTGTATTGCAAAACATGCTATATTAGTATTGTTTGAGTTCGAAAGTTGTTGAAAAATATTTATGGAGAAGATGGGTTACTTTATCAATGATGTCATATTAGAAAATGAATGAATAATGACAAGACACTCCTCAAACAAAGAACTAATATCTCTTACTATTAAAAAATAAGTCTAAATTAACAGTATATCTTAAATAGAGTCATATGATTAATATATACATATATATTCTATCTCCATCTTCAGTGGTCACAAACATCACAAATCTTATCGTTACTCCAAGAAGATTCACTGCGTTGAATCTTGTTTTTACTCTCTCATATAACAACAGCAGCAGAAAACAAAAGAAACCATAATATCTGCTCTTTTAATGACGCACATATTTATGTAAAATGTAGACTAATCTTATGTTGACGCAATTCATTTCTCATTCACTTCTATTGAATAGGGTTAAATCAATACTGCAATCTTCAGAAGCCTTTTTTTTCTTATAATCGATCTAGTTCATGAATATACGTCAATATAATTCAAAACGTCATTTGAATGCAAGTAAAATTGCAAAAAAGAATAATAAGAGAAAAAGTACATGTAAAGATGAAAGTATAATTATGTTATTTTATATTAAAGTAATAATATAATTGTAGAAGTATTATGTATATTATACTATATAAGTACAGCGGATCGAGAAAGTGAAAACAATAAACGAACGATGGAAAATAAGTTTGAAGAACTTGTTGGTAAACTGAATATTTCTCCATTATCAGTTGATATTCTTCAACAAATCTCCTTAATTCTTAAAGAACAAGATAGAGAATGTTTATGTTCATTTGTACACAAATCGTTTGACTTATTATTAGTGGTTGAACGCTGGGTGTGGAAAGTACTCAGTAGTCATTACTATGATAAATGGATCAATGACGAATATTATCAAGATTTCTTTTATACTGTTACATCATTTAACAAGAACTTAATCTTCAATAATCATAACGTTACAGTTGATACGAAAGGATCTCTTCTTTTCTGTGTGAGCATTGATCAAATAACTGATATATTTACAAAACTTGACCGAAGTACTGACGTTAACAATCCATTTATTAATATAATCAGTTTGTGGTTGGATAATCATTCTCATTTTCTGTATGATAATCCTCAGTATAATATACCACCAGTTATTGATTATATTGGTCGACATATTGCGATCAAATATTTTATGAGCAAACAATATAAACTATATCTGACGGAACTTCGACAGCCACACTTAATCCAGTCTGTATTCACAGCTAAATTCTTATTTTATATAAAAACATGTTCATTTTATTTATTTGCATATACGTATCTATCTATAAAATCTTCTAATTATCCTTACACGGCTGATGAAATGATTAGTTATTTGTCTGAAGATTACTTAGAAATAGTTCATGTTCATAGTTATAATGTAATGTCCTGGAATAAGGAACTACTTGGTTGTATTGCACACTTTGTTGGATTAATATGGGGATGTTGTTGGTGGGATGGACAACAACGAACACAGTTGAAAATACTCTTTCCTAAAGAACAAATAGCATGTGACCATGTAGAAGATCTTATTCGCATCATTGCTCATACACCATTTTATAAACGAACGAAATCTGTACGTTCAAATGATGAAACAATTTTAATGGATACAACATTAATGATTCTATTCGTAATAGTCCAAACACAAAATATAAATTGGCTTTTTCGTTCTAATACAACAATACGAGATACAATTATATCTGTATCTGAGACTGCACTAAATGATGAAGTTTGTCTGTGCGGATACTGTCTACTTGGTGAAGCTCTTGGAGATGATCTTCGGAAAGATTTAAAAATAGCTGATAATATTAGTGATTATTTCTTCTATATGATACAAGAAGCGTGGAATAATTCATCGAACAAATATAAACAAATACCCATCGAGCATTTACTAAAAGGTATACACATTGTATAAATTCAAATGTTAAAACATAACTATTTTTCATCATTCATCGAGTCTAAATTTAGAACCGTACATAGAGAGGAGTTTACGCTAGTAATCTTCTTGATTTTCTTACAATCTAACGTCGCGTCGTTATACATACATTTTTCGCGGAACCCTTTTGACAATATGAAAAGTACAAGAATAAATCATTCTTGAACTATTTTTAGATTTTCAAATCCTATCAAAGAATGATTCAATACAACAACGAACCGCCAGTTCAAGTAAACTACCACTTTTCATTGAAATGTCTGATCAACATCCAATTGTATATGATATTATATGGGCACTTTCATTTAACCATGATATCCAACAACAACTTCGCTCGAATTCACTATTCATGTCCAAGCTATCTCGTCTTGCTCCACAATGTCATAATGAACAAATGCGAAAAAGTACTCATGGTATTCTTTGGAATCTTGAAATCAATCATCAACGCAGATCAATATCACAAAATACCAATCAAAATACTTTTCATATTATGATTAGTTATTCACATCAAGAAAAAGATCTTTGTAAACAGCTCTATAATGAACTAACTAAAAATGGTTATCGTGTTTGGATTGATTTTGATCAAATGCATGGAAATATCATGGATGCAATGGCACAAGCTATTGATCAATCAGAAATTATTATTATTTGTATGAGTGGACATTATCAACAAAGTAATTATTGTCGAGCAGAAGCACATTATGCATTTCAACGACAACGTCAAATAGTTCCAGTTCTTATGCAAAAACACTACAAACCAGATGGATGGTTATTATTTTTGATTGGTCAATTATTATATGTTGATTTTACAAAATATGAATTTGTAAGAGCAATGGAAATGTTATCCAAGGAACTTAAAGCTATACATACTGCTGATATCAATATAATACCTGTTCAACCAAAACAAGATATCGATGTTGTCCCACACCCAAAAGTTACTATAACATCACCAAAAATATCTTCATTGTCAACATCTTCATCGAATATTATAGAATGGACGTCGACACAAGTGCATGATTGGCTTCTTGAGCAGGATCTCGTTCAGATGCCTCGTCTTCTTAATCATTGTGATGGTCGAAGTTTAGTCTATCTACTTAAATACATGGATGTCAGTCAACCAGAACAAATTTTATCATTACTTCAAGAAGATTCCTTACGATTGATAAATCAAAATATATCACTTATAGAATTATCTCGTTTTCATTCTATGATGCATCAACAAAAATGACTCATCTAACGAATTATTCTCTTAGAAATGCAAAAACTTATACGAACAATGTACTAATTAACGTACCATTTTAAACTAACAAATTATATCCATTCTAAAGAGTGACTCAAAAGGTTTTATATTGCATAATTAATATGATTTTCACTAAGAATAAAGTTTATTCTCAGATTATCGCACTTTGTTAAATGTAAAATGAGCGTAAGTTCAAATAGCGGATTATAAAATTGTCTGTTTTGCTGTAGTATTATGAAAAATAACATTGATCACATGATGATATTAACTAGATAAAATACGATATTTTCTTACAGAAAGACAAAATAATTTGCATAAATATTAGTCAAACTCTTATTGTACTTAAAGTTAAAATGCTGGTAGAAATAACGTCAATAAGTATTATCAAAAAAAGAGAGAAAAGAACAAAATATATAAGACGATCTTCAAGTAATGTACAATCGTATCTGTGAATAATTTTCATTTGAAGAAAATTATCAATAAATCCTTTCAACAAAGCTATTTACAAAATATTTCGTTGTATTTTCTTATCTATTATAGTTAAATATATTAATTTATTTGCTTACTATAAAAGTTAGCATTCTTTTACTTTTTAAAACGTTGATTATTAATTCAGTTATAGATCAGAATTAAGTTTTGATATTTTGATCATTTAGGTTTATTTATGAAGATTTTTTTAAAAGTTCGATGAAAGTATTGTGATTTATCTATTATTATTATTAGTATAGGTCGATCATGATCACCAAATACCGTGAGTTTATATCTTTTATTTTTCTATTATGAAAATCTAACTATTTAGAATATAGTTTGAACAAGTAAATCATTTTTAAAAATTTAAAAAGAAAACGCAAGTAGTTATAGGACAAGAAATGGATACTTTCGTTATTCCCAACTTTTGTAATAGAACATATTCTTGGAAAAATCCTTAAGTGATAATCTTTTGTTGATCACTTGGAAATAATACATATCAATATAAATCGAAAAACAGAAGAAAAACGCATTAAGATAACGAAAGGAAAAATCCCATACGATCACATATGCAGAAAAGATGAAAATACTATATGAATAGAGGTGTAAGACGATCGGTTAGGCCTCAGACAGACTGAATTAACCAATACGATGACGTGTTACGAGATAAACCATCTTTTTTAGACGATTTATCACGATAATGCGCCAATTATATCGCTTAATTCAACTTTAACGGTAATTCATTTTTCTGTCTGTTTGACCCCTTAAGCCGCCGCCGCCGCCGCCGCCGATCGAGTCATCGGCTTACACCTCTATATATGTATATCCAATATTTTTACCTTTACAATTATATTGGAGTATTAAACATTACACGAATTCTGAACACTACAAAGTATCCAACAAGACAGTTAGATTAATTTCGCGATTTCAAATACAGTTGGAAACAGATATCAATCAATATGGCTCTCTTATCATATACACTCAACGAATTCTTGCCTTTACTACCGACTGAAGTTCATGAAAAAGCAGTCGAAATTTTCAAACGTGTTCCTGGTACGTTACTCAAATATTTTAGTCCAAAATTAATAACAAAAAAAGCAGAATGTAGTGAACATAATTTGATTACTGAAAAATCGGTTGAGAGTAATGGTAATGAATACTGGAATAATATAAGAGAAGGTTCAAGTGATTCGTTGAACAAAAGAATGCATGGTCAGGATATAACAAAAATAAATCGAAACTATCCTGCTGAAACTACATCCAAACAGCCAATACAGAATGAAACACAAGGGGGAAAATGCAAACTTTTGCACTTCAAGTGAATTTGAGCCACTTTATGCTACTTTGCACTACTTTGTGCTACTTTGCACTACTTTAAGTTACTTTACA